AGGAAACGATATTATAAAGTGTGTCTAGCTGATTTTCTGCCTATTTTCATGTGTTTATTATTTATCTTCATAGTACTTTGTGTGTATATTTTTTTAACCTTTCCTGATATTAGCAAATCTGTGATGCTCTGTCTATTGTACTTTATCTCATTTTTTCTCCCTTACTGTGGTCCTATTCTCCTACATCTTTAACTTCATAGCCAGTAGTTTCAAAATGATACATTCTTCTATCACCTATTATATTTACTGAATTATTTTGAGTTTTCAGTTCGTAATTTAAAATAGCAGGTGAATAGATGATTTTATCTTTCTCTATTTTAATAAACCAAGTTCATTTTATATGCAGGACCACACCTGCATTTTCTCCTAATAACAGCATATGAAAAAAGATTCCTCTCTCCTAATACACCAATATTCCCATCTTAAGAATTTCATTAGAGGCTGGGGATGTGGCTCAAGCGGTAGCGTGCTTGCCTGGCATGCGTGCGGCCCGGGTTCAATCATCAGCACCACATACAAACAATGATGTTGTGTCCACTGAAAACTAAAAAATAAATATTAAAATCTCTCTCTCTCTCTCTCTCTTAAAAAAAAAGAATTTCATTAGAAAGGATATAAATATGTTCAATGAACTTAAGTGGGAAAATACTCCAGATTTTTTTTTCCCTAAAATTAGAGCATTATAGTTTTACGTAGTAGTTGGGTTCATTTTGACAGAATTGTGCACACATGAAATTTGGTTTCAATCCCCATTCCCCTGCTTTTTCTCCCCTCACCTCTCCCTCTTCCTCTACTCTGTCAATTATCATTTTTGATTAGTACTTTCTACATATAAATAAAGATGAGATTCCCTATGGTGTGTGTATGTATATATATATATATATATATATATATATATATATACCGCAGTCCGGCTGCAGCAAAATAACCGGGGGGGTGACGAACAACTTGTGTACATTGATACAGCAGGAGTGGGAGCCGTTTATTGTAGGACAGGAGGGGTATATATACATTACACACAGCTTATCTTAATTAACATAAACTAGATACAGCAGTCAACCAATAAGGAATCTCCACACTTAATGGCTTCCTGGTGTTACTTCACAAACCACTCCCTCTGGCAAAATGCCAGGCGCCATCTTGACTTGTTTACAGACCCTAACACACACACACACACACACACACACACACACACATATATATATATAATGTTATTTATATATATATAAATAACATGATTTTATTGAATTCACCCCATATTCCTCCCCTTCCTGTCCCTCCTCTCTCCCTCTCCATGTCCTTCTTCTACTCCCCTGACCTTCCTTATATCCATATGATATTCCATCCACACATAATCCACTGCCTTCTTTCTCTTATTTTGGTCAGATTCATTCTTTTTTTTTGGGGGGGGGGGTAACCAGGGATTGAATTCAGGGGTACTTGGCCACTGAGCCACATCCCCAGCCATATTTTGTATTTCATTTAGAGACAGGGTCTCACTGAGTTGCTTAGCACCTCACTTTTGCTGAGGTTGGCTTTGAACTCGCAATCCTCCTACCTCAGCCTCCCAAGCTCCTGAGATTACAGGCATGCACCATGGAGCCAAGCCAGATTCATTCTTGATCTGCCTTCTCTGCCCATGTTTTTTTGTTTTGTTTTGTTTTGTTTTTTTGCCTGGGCTGAATTTAGCCTTATCCTCTCATTCACAACCTAATTCAGCCAGGCATTAAGCTGAGAAGGAGAAGAATAGGGTGGAGAGCTGGACTTCCCAGCTATAATTCCAGCCACCTCACGTATCTCTTTAACCCTGTCTATACTGAGAGAATGGTATTAGAAGGGAACAGTAATAGTTCCTAAAAAGGTTAGATCTACAAGTTCAGTATAGACTACAGGCCCAGCAATAGCCCTTAGAGCCAAGTCTGCCCTTGTGAACAGTTTGAAAACCAAAGAAATTATAAAGTCCTTTCAGTAGGTAGATGATCACTGCCCAGTCTTAACTTCAGTCTTTTCATAAGGTAAGGATAGCACTCCCCACAGGCAATTTCATTTTTAATTCAGAGTTGGTTTTGAGGTTCCTATATTTCCACTGTAGCTCTCACTTAGAATAAAGTCTTAGAATTCTTTGAAATCACCTGATTCATTTGTCTCAAATGTGAACTAAGGTACTGAGGATATAATAGACTCATTCAAAGCCAGGAAACCAGTTAGTATCAAAGCCAGAAAGAGGACATTACTCTTTCTAGGAACTGTTTCACACTTCGGGATGCTATGCAGAGATTAGTTGTAAAAGAACACATAAGCATTTTCAGTAAAAGTTACACAGGAAAAGTAAAGTAAATCTTGGGGGAAAGTAGTCCAAAATGACTGCATTCTACTAGTCAATAGATTAGCTAGCTACCTGGAAATCAGAGTCAAATTAAAAGGTGAATTGTCCAGTCATCATGCAAACTTGAGTCTCTAAGGGTGTGCCAATAAGATGGCACCCTTGTGTGAATTAAAAATATATGCTTTCCCTGGGCAGGTGCAGTCTCTCAAGAATAAAGACACTTCTTCCTCTGGGTGAATGCAGTCAGTCCCTGTCTTCAGTGTGGCAAGTAGACCGTGAGATGGAGTTTAGCTTCCACACACCCCCCCCCCCAACCGAATATCCCTGTGTGTTTCCCAGAATTCCTCTCCTGAAGAGACTGCATGTGGGTAGGAGGAATGTTTTGATAAGCAACTCAAGGAGAACTGAGAGCCAAGGAGCAGGCATAGTCACTAGCCTACCTCTTAGGGGGTGACTGCATAAATGAATGGGGCACAAAGTTTGAGGTCACATCATAGAGGAGAGGCTGAAGGCTGCCCTAGAGTCCTTCTGTGTCTCACTCCCCACCCCACTCTCCACCCTATTCCAGGCCTAGAGTTCTAGGAATGGGTTGCTCTAGGTTAGAGCATGAATTTTCAGTGTTAATTCTAAAATTCCCTTAAAAACAAGCTGTAATGACAGAGCACTCTGGTGTTTATTCTGGAGATAGTACTCCAATTTTGAGACAGCTCAAATACTGCCTTTCTCTTCATTTTTTTCTATGGATAAAATTGAGTTCGCAATCAATTGATGAAGTTGAATCTTGATTCTGTCTTAGCTGTGCAATGACCTAAAAGCTTTCCACCTGATAGGTTCTTTTTCCTTACCTATAAAATGGGCTTTGTTATAGGATTAAAGGAGACAACACAATCAAGTGTCCAGTGGGAGGGGAATGTATGCTCTCTTACCTTCCTTTCCACTTCATCTCACCCAGGTGCAATTTGTTGCTCTAGTCCACTGCATCTGTGCCACACACACACACACATCTTTAACTTTCAGGGCCCAAAGGAATCAGGCACCTGGATGTCTGACTGGAAGGGAAAAGGATGATACCTGAGGTTTAATTTGTCCTTTGAGTACCACAATTGTCATACTTTCTACCTCAGTCCTCTAAATTGAAATCCCAGGGAAGTTTCCCCTCCTAGTGGATGCCCTTGTAAAATATAGAATACACCTACTTGTTTCTGAAGAGAGAGGCCATCAGAGTGGTTTAGAATGAGTGCTGGCACAGTGAGACCTGGGTTGAATCCTGGCTCTTCTACTATTTGTGAAGCTCTGGACAAAAGTCAGTCCAATGACTATAACAGTCAAATTGGGATAATATTAGGTTTCATATCAGAAAGTTTAAATAGGACAACATCCTGGTGCTTTAAAAAATATTCAATAAGCATTAACTGTTTCTTATTAGAGGATCTGCTGGATCAAGTGTCTCTGAGATGCTCTTAAAGAACCCCCTCACAAGTGGCAGCAAGGGGCACCAATAAACAGTTCCTCGGTGGGGGTGGTGACTGGGACCAGGAACTGCAGGGTCCTCAGCCACTGTGTGTGTTTTCACTGTTCAGCATCAACAGCATGAGTTCTCCCAGGACTGAGAATTTTGGGACGACCTAAAAGATTAATCTAGGAACAGATATAGAAAATGATCATTACCCACCCTACCATGACTAGAAACGCTGACTAAAGGGCGAGGCATGGACTGAAATGATACCACAAAAGAATTAGAAGACACAAGTGTACTATAGTTACATGTTCACATTCAGGACATGAGGGACTTTCTGGCCCCACCCAAGCTCTTTTCCAGGACTTGTAAGAAACCAGGGATAGAAAACGCACTGTGTACACACAACAGCTTGGATGACTGGAGCTGAAAAGCCTTTTCTGGGTGATCTAGAGAACAAGACCAAAATACACACCTTCACTAGCTCTAAGATGAAGAAATATAACTATTAAAATTTCAAGGGTTTGAGTGAAGCATCGTGTTTACTGTTTTTCTCTCACAAGGATAACAGTAGGTGCTCAACGTGTATAAACAGGAACCAAGGGAAGGAACCAGCAGAATAAGTAAAATATCCTAGATCATATGCAATCCCACCACCTTGGTCCCTTCTCAATCAGTAAATTTCAAATAGGGGCTCATCCATTGCCCTGAGAACTACTCAAAGAACCTCCAAAATCTCCATGCGGAACCAGCCGTTGTCCACCAGGGGTGCTGGGGTGGAGGGAGATGAGTTTCTTCCACGCTTATCACGATCTTTATTTCTTCCTTCCAAGTCCAGAATCGCAGGCAATGGAAATTAGGCCACTGCAGGAGCAGAGGCAAAGAAAGTCTCCCTTCCCCAACCCTCCCCGGCCCGGTAAAAGGGCGGCTGGATAAGATGAGGCAATCCATCAATAGGCAAAACCTGAGTTTCCTTCCAGAGCGCGGCCGCGGCAGAGCGGGGCGCTGAGGCCCGGCGGGCGGGCGGCCGGCGCGGGCGCGGCGCGTACCCGGCGTGCTCCTCCGTGCGCCCGGGCGGCGCGGCCGCGGCCGGCGCTCCTGCAGAGGGAGCTGTGCGCCAGACCTGGCGCCCGCACGGCGAGTTCTCTCCCTCTTGCCGCCGTTTAGGCCCGCCCGGCGGGGAGGGGCTCCCGGCCTCGCCGACAGCTGCTTCCTGCTAGGCTCACATCCTCGCACCGCGCCGCCAGTGTGGTCGAGAGCGCGCTGTCCCAGAGCCGTCCGTCCGCCGCCACCGCCCGGCCGCAGCCCCGCGCCCCAGAGTCGCCCCGCGGCCAGCCCAGCCCTCTCGCGTCCGCTCCTGGAATCCGCGCCCTCCACGTATTCCTGCCCGTCCCCGGCCATGCTGTCCTTCCAGTACCCCGACGTGTACCGCGACGAGACCGTGGTGAGTACCCCTGCCGAGTCCACCGGGCTCCGGACCGCCGGTGCCCGCCCGCCTGGCCGACCGCCGCCTGCGGCTCCTCTCTCTGCAGCCCCTCTCTCTGCAGCCCCTAGCCCCTGCGTCCCTCCCCTCCCCCTCGGCCTTTGTTTGCAAGAAACGGGCCGGGGGCGCGGGGGCCCGGCTGGCGGTCGCTGATGGTCTGCTGGCGGTCTGCTGGCTGCAGAGTCCGTGGTCAGCACCGCTTCCTAAAATCATTGGGGTCAAGGGCAGACGCCCGGCTAGGAAGGGGCGCCTTAAGGGACTAGGAAGACAGAAGGTGTCATTGCTTTTTGACTAGAGAAGCCTCTTAAATATGGTGGTAGGAGAAAGTGTACGCCGGTGTGTGCATGTGTGTTCGTGTGAGATGATGTAAGATTTAAAAACAGAAGCAAACTTTTAAAACTTAGAATTTTGAAGTCCTTGGAGTTGAAGCTCATTCATTCTGTTTTAAGTCTGCCCAGTCCTGAGCGGAGTGCTGGGCGTTGGTTGCCGCGGGAGCAAAGACCCAGACAGAGTAATAGGGAAAGAAAAGCAGGGACCCGCTATTGTCACCAGAGCTGGTGTAGGTTTTCTTACACAAGACAGGGAGTTGAGGGGTCATGGGGGATGGCCTTTTTCAAAGTAAGTTTTGCCTAGCGGGAGTTAGTCATTTACCTAAGCTGCAGAAGAATTCGAGGTAATTATTGAGATCCAGGGAGTGAAATTCTGAGCAGATACCTCTATTCTGGTGTAAAATTAGTTTGGCATTTTAAGAGCTGGATTGAATCCAGACATTGTGGTCATGATTCTTGTACGGATAGCCAAATTTCTCAGATCACTTAAAATAGAATTAGAAAAATATTTTTGTATGATACACTTCTCATTTTTTTTTTGTTCTGTTTACTTTGACCTGATTTGTGCCAGAAATTTTGTACTCTAAAGCACATCTCACATTGGGGTAAAGGGTGTCAAGGCATTAAAGGACATATTGTTGTAAGTGAAGACTTCCAAGTGTATCTCATTCCCACTGGCCAGCTGGGAACCATGTCTCTTAAGTCTGTTCAGCTGTTCACTTAGGAAATTTACCCTAACAGCCCAAGAAGTTCTTTCCCTGAGTCCCAAAGGTTTGTTTCCTTTGTATACGGGAGTAAAACCATACTGCTAGAATGGGAAAGAGGACAGATTGCTAATTCTGTTTTTTTCACTCACTAGCTAGGTGACTTTTGACAGATATACCTGTTACAGGCTTTTTTTTTCCACATATATGGACCATTAAGACTGACCTTAGGGCTTACTTGCTTCTGCAGTAATACAATTTTAGGTTTGTTTTGTTTTTTAGGGTGGTTGCGTCTTGCTTAGTTCTTCGCTATTCTGTGTAGCAAAATCCTATAGTTGGTTTTTCTGTGTTCAACAGTTTCTGAAAGGGTTAAGTAGGGATTTTATAAGAACATTTAAAAGATTATAAACAACTTGGAAGGTTATACTCTGAATTTTAATATTCTCTAGTTTCTTCTCACCAAAGAACTCTTGATAACTAAGTCTAGTGGCCGAGGGAACACAGCTGGGGTCCAGCCTAGATCCTCTTCTGTTGCTCACTTAGTGTACTATCCCTGGCACCCTGCATGGGCTGCCTTTTTCCTGAATCAGGGTTCTAGTCACTAAGCCCTAGGATTGACTTATGCATTTGATTTGGAACATGGGTTCGATTCTCACCAGCACTAGAGATGGCTATAGCTCTCTTTCTCACTTGAGCATCTTTCATCCACATGCTCAGCAGTTTCCTGCTGAACTATGGATTAGAGCATGGAACGCTTTTGGTGGATTTCTGCCTTCTTGGGTAAAAATTTGGAAACGATGACACTTCCTGTGCAGTTCTATGACCTTTTTCCATCAGTGTTTCTGTCAGGATATTCAGTCTTGCTCACACCATGATGAAAGAGTACTGGAAGGAGAACACAGAAGAGAATGGAGCTGATTTCCATCAGGAGGAGGAAATAATAGGTGAATTGAGATTGGGAGTTAACCAGTTGGATAGGGAGGAAGGACATTCCTGAAGTTGAGACTAAAATAAAGATACAGTTATGGAGGCCTGGTTGGTTGTAGAATTGCATTTGTTTGTAGTATTAGGAAGGCCATTGTGACCAGGCCATTCATTTATGGGTAAGCTTGAATGAGGCTGGGAAGAGGAGCAGGACCAGGTTTGATGGGTCCTTCCAGCTGAGTGTGTCTGTATTTTATCCTGAAAGCAGTGGGCAAGCTGTTGTTCAGTATAGATAAAACATGGAACAGGGTTACCTAACACAGTGCCTTCTCAGGCCTCTGTTTTAAAACCTCTTGAGGAGGTGAGGAATGGTTTGCAAACTTACAATCAGATGGAAGAACCAGATATATTATATGACTTGCATTCAAGGAATGTGTCTGAGACCTCCCCAATTGTAGGGTATGGTCTTATAAAAGAAAAAAAAAAAAAAACTAGGGTGGTGTGTGGGCCACAGCTTCTGGAATTGACTGTGGGATCGCGCTGAAAATCAATTTCTTGTCCTCGTTAAAATGTCTTTTCAATGACCAACCTCAGTCTGCTTTAGATGACAGTGCCAGGTCTGGGAAGATACGGCTGTTTCTTTAGTAGTAGATGCCATTCAGTAGACAGCTTGGTATACCATACACAGGATTCTGATTCTCAGTCTAGCTGTGCACCTGCCTTTTCCCACCACGCCCTGCTCATTTGCTGAGTGATACAGCAGGATCTTAGATCCATAGGCTTTGTAGTTAGCTGTGGGTGGGTTACAGTCCTACTGCTTGTTAACCCTCAGACCTTTGTTAATTGCTTTAGTTCTCTCCAGCTTCAGGTTCCTCATCTGGCAAATGACTTCACAGTGAGGATCAAATGAAGTAATGTGGGTGAAATCTATGGCACAAATTTAACTCATAATCTCCAATATAAACAGTAAATCTGTTGGACTTCACTCTTATTAACCTCTCTGAATTGCATTTCATAATCTGTGAAATAAGAATGTCCACAACCCTCTTCCAGAGTTGTGGATATTCAGTAAATATTTATTACTTTGAGTCTAGCATTTGGCAATCAGTACCTTCTCTTAGTCATATAGTTAACATGATTTCTAGTTAATCTTTTCTACCTTTTTTTGTAAAAAGTTAAGTTCCTGGGTATGCCTTAGGACATTTTTTTAGTATCTGATCTCTACCTAATCTTAATCTTAATCCCAGGTCTGGCATAGATCTTGCATACTGGGTTGGAGATACTTTACAACTTTCAATTTTTTTTTTTTATTTCATATTACCAAGGAAAAGAGAATTGTCATTTTAAGCCTGTTTTATAACCAAGGTGTGTAAAATATAAGACTTGCAGATGAGATGAAAAGCTTTCATTCAGTGGTGACAGCTAAACTCCAAAGAGGTAAAATTGAAAATTGGTAATTTTATGAAGACCCATCAGGAGAGATTTTAGTCAGGTTTTATATTCCTTGCTCTTGACAGTCAGTTGTATAGTGAAAATGGTTCCAGCATGTTCTGCTTCATCTATCCATTTCCTCGGGAGTTCTCTCACCTGCATCAGTTGAGAGAGATGCAGAAAGCCTGGTGTTGTAGGCCATGGAGGTTGTTCTCACCTGGCAGTGGTTATGCTGGAACTTTAACCAGGGTGAAAAATAGGATTCAGATGTTCCTTTTCTAGGATACTTTGCTAGAAGGAATGATCCTTACCTTTTGATATTTTCAAACAAAGCAAGAGATATTAAAAACTCAATCCGAGACAGAGGTAACCTTGCCAATAACCTTGTGCAGAAAGCCTTGACTGGAAGACTCGCATTGATTACGGGCTTGATTGGAAAGACTTGTCATTGTGGCTTCAGTGGATTGGATTAATCTTGATAGTTTGAGGGGGAGAGGTTTCCTTTTGAATAAGTTCTTTAGGCATCATGATCTGGAGAGTGGTGACAAATTGACCCAGTTGTTCCTTCCAGCTCCCTTAACTAATCCCTGAGGCCAGGCCCTGGAATTTGTGCTATCAGAAGCTTCCCAGATGGGATGGCTCCCCTCTGGCAGGCTCTACTTATGCAAAGCAGCCCCTCACCCCACTTTGGTAGTGGGGATGTAGTCCAGTGGCACTCTACTGTGGAGCTACATCTGCAGGCCTTTATATTTTGAGACAGGTTGTCTAAATGGCCTTGAAGTTGTAATCCTCCTGCCTCAACCTTCTGAGTCCCAGGATTTACAGGCCATACTGCCACGCCCAGCTTACCCAAAGCAATTTTATTTCTTCATATACCAGGATAGTTTAAATGGTTATGCTTTCATGTCTTGCTGTAAGTGAACAAAAGCATTTCGTAATAGTGTATAACAAGAAGAAGGGCTTCAGTTTAAAAAGTCTTCATTGCACATAAACCACCTTTTTTTAGCCGGTGACAATCATTCTGCCACGTATTAGTGACTTGCTTTTTGGCACTTGAGACTTAAAAACAAAATTGACCATACGCTGTATTGTAGGGAGACTTTCTGATCATAGGCAACGCTTAGCAGGAGCAGGAAAATAAGCACGTGTGGTGGCTCCTTCTCAGAGTGCCCTCCTCATGTGCCCACAGTATTGTGTCCTGTGCTTTGCCCCTGACTGCACATTTTCGAGTTTCTTTAGCACAGCAGCAGGCCTTTGTTTTGTGTTGTTCAGACAGAGCAGTTTCCCATTCTGACCTTTCATCTTTCTTCCCTCTGCAGCTAAAATGTTCTTTTCACAAAGAGTGGCTTGACACCTTTGAGAACCTGCCAATTTTGGTTCATGTGGTAATTTGGACAGACATGTTGCCAGTGAGCCAATTAGTTAGTATTTTTTGTCCCTTTCCTATTTCTCCATCACATTGAGAAAATACTAATTTTAATTGGGTTTAGGCCCTAATTATCTAACAGCTCCATATTGTCTTTTGCAGGTACAGGATTATCATGGGCATAAAATTTGTGACCCTTATGCTTGGCTTGAAGACCCAGACAGCGAACAAACCAAGGTAATTTCGGCTCATAATTAAAGATACGCAGGCTTAGTAGTCAGCCTAGACTGCAGTTGTCAGTCTTTCTAGCCTCTCTCTCCTGTTTTTTCTGCCACAGGATGGTGTGTGTGCCTGGTGGTACTACCACTTTTTGTCAGATGATTCATGGGGAAAATGACCAAAGTATGTATAGTCCCCAGGGGAAAGTCAAGTAACTTATTAGTTTGTCATGACACTAATGAACCAAGTATTTGAAATGAAAGGATTAGGAAGGAAGGAAGGAAATGGATTTTCACTGAAGAAAGATGATCTGAAGAAAAAATTGCCTAATGCATTGTTTTTCCCCAAAGGAGAGAAAGTCTTACATATTGAACAAATGCTGTTTTGCAAGCTGAATGCTGAGCTTAGGCTACTTTTTGATTTTAACACAACAAACAAGAACTGAATTAAAATATAAGAACAGTCTTATATTTTATAAAGGTAATGTGGTGGAGGGGAAAATTTATCTCTTTTTTTTTTTTTTTTTTTGTTATGAAAACAGTGCATTCTGTTCTTTTGGAGAAAAACATATTATTCCAAGGAATCATCTAAAGTTTCACTTCATTAACAAAGCTGCCCCTAATTGCTATGTCCTCTGGATAGTTTTCCTGTCTTTGAATGAAGTTCATTATTTATACATACTTTAAGTGGTTAATTAAGCTTGCTTGCGAGGAGGAATGGTGTTTCTCAAATTCACCTTAAGATCTTTGACTCTTATTTATGACCATAGTACATATTAACTCAGTGCATGAGAACATGTGTACTATTTCTGATGCACTCACCATTCCAGAAGTTGGAACTTGTTTACAGTCCCAGAATACATTTCCCATTTAAAAAAAAAGAAGAAGAAGGTGAAAAGAAAAATGTCAAAGCTCTCTGGGCAATTTCCAGACCAGCCTCCAAAACTCTGTTCCTTAGCTCCTCCTCATCATGTGGGCCTTTGCCATCACACATACTAATGTTTCCTAAAGAACTGAGGTCATATTCCCAGGTTCAGATTCACAAAGCCATTTGGATTTTCCAGAAAGCATCCCCTCCTGATGTGTGCCTGGTTAATGGAATCAGGACCTCCCTGCTTTGACAAGGAAAGGCATGTGTGAGAGAGGGGTGCCAGACAGGGACATGGTGATATATGGCAGAGGAGAAAGTGGAGGCAGGAGGAGGTCGCTCTTACTGGAGTAAAGCCCATGGCTATCTCTCCCTTCTTTCTTCTATGCCACCTTGGCTTGCCTGCTTTCCTTTCTACCATCCTCACCTGTTCTTTGCAACTGGAGTCTCTTCTCCTTGCTTTTCTATGGAAGCCCTTACAGCTTTCCTTATCCTTTATTCCTGAAGTCAGCATACTACCATCTCCAGATTTTCTAATGGTCGTTACTTTATTCTATAACCATACATTCTCTTCCTTTTCTAATTCCTTCAAGAAAGACAGAGGTCTTGTGGGTAAGAGTGGTTGACATTTGTGTTTTCATTTTTCTTCAAAGAAGCCTTGGGTTTTAGGTGAATGGGTAGAAATTCCAAGGTGAGAAACAGATGAGTGTCTTTGGGAGTAGGGAAGACTCTGGCTCTGCAGTTAAGACCAGGGGTAGAGGTAAACAGGTGTGAGTTGTTGCCTCAACTGTCACCTACAGGTGACCTTGACCACCTGCATTGGACTAAGCTGAGACCAAGGGATTGAGGCTGGGAGTGGAGAGTTGCAGGCAGTTGTGTAACTGTAATGGATAGAAAGCACCAGGGAAGAACATGAACTTACCAAGTATCCCTGGTTTACCTGTCCCCAAGGACATGATGATATCTTTGCCTGAAGCCTGAGGTACACCCTGGAGTTTGCCAGCCTTTTTTAGTGATTGATCAATTCAGCCACAGCAGACTTAGTTCTTCATTGAAGATGCACACTTTGCTGTTCCTTAGTTGGTAGTGGCTGGTCCCATGGATGACAAGCTACTTACTAATGCCAAGCTTCCAATTAGTGGATGAAGCTGCTCATCAGTGAACTCGTTAATGTCAAGCTTCCAATTAGCAAGCTTGCAGTCAGCCCTTGATAGAAGCTAATGACATTGAAGTATATGCTATTATTTTTGTGGTATACATTTATAGGATGCTTACTGTGTGCCAGATAATTTCTCGAGAGTTTTATGCACCCCGTCTCATTTAATTCTCTAACTCTTGAGTAGATCTTTTTATTTTTTCCATTTTACGGATGCAGAAATTGAGGTACTAAGTGATTGAGTTGCCCATGGTCACTTATCTAGTGTGTTCCTAGATAGCTCAGGTGATTATCAAGTTTGTGTTAAATTCAAAGTAGGGAGACTTGAGGCTGTAATAGCTTGGGATGCAGTCTGTAGGACTTTATTCATGTCCATGCTTGCCATGGGACTCTGTGAGCCTTCATGCCCGGACCCTGGACCATCCCCCATACCCACAGTAACCTGTGTGACAGCATGCCATAGGTGTCAGGGTGGGCAGCCCATGCCATCTCACTGCCTGTTAAATACACACCTCTCTTACTCCTCTAAACAGGCTTGTTATTAATGTGGGCTAGTGTGTCATTTGGAGTTGAAAGGGTTAAATTTTGTTCTCAGATCAAAAGGATAGTAGGGTGTATTTTTCTTTTCTTTTCTTTTTTTTGTTGTGGGGTGGTAGGGAGTGAACCTAAAAAGCAGCAGGAACATTTTCTGCTGGTGGTCATAAGCATACCCACAGGGTGCATTGGCCATGCCTTGGTGTGAAGAGAATGTTAACATCACCTCCAAAACAAAGAAAAGGCTGCTTGTTACATTTTTTAATAAAAACCTGTCAGAAGTGGGAAACATTTGTAGCTGTTTTATACTGAGATCTGAAATGCTATCAGTAGATCTTTGATTCAATCGTGTATTTAGTATAGGTTACCTAATTTTGACAGTGCCTGGCATGTAAGGCTTTATTCTTTATAAAAGAATCTTGGGACAAACTGGTAGCTTGGAATATTTTTTAAAAACAGGGATAGGAGGGGGTTGAATCTGGGTGAATCCTTTCAAGCTGCCAGTGCCCGTATAACCCTGTTTTGTAGCAGATATTCCAGATTGCAAATCACATACCACTAGATTGATTCTATGAAGCAGATTCAACTCTGACAGGAAAACTTAACAGAAATGTTTTTAAAGAGGAAACAGTAGACCAGTACTGCCTAACAGATAGATAATGCATATGTAATTTAATTTATTGTAGCCACATATAAAAAGTAAGGAATGAAATTAGTTTTATTTTGTACAGTATATCCAAAACATTCCTCTTTTTTTGCCAATGTTGGGACTTGACCCCAGGCCCTTGTGTGTACTAGGCAAGTGCTGTACCACCAAACTACATTCCCAGCCCTCCAAATTATTCCTACATGTAATCAGTATAAAATATTATTAAGATGTTTTTACAATCTTTTTTAAAAAACTGATTTTTTAGATTCCACCATGTAATTGACACATCGCATCATTTCAGCCATATTTCAGTGCTCAGGAGCCACAGGGGGCTAGTGCCTACCATATTGGACAATGAAGATATGCACTCTTTCTTGTAAGAGTATGTGTAAAAAATATAAATAAAAATGAGCAGATTAAAAACCATCAGTTTTTGTCACAGGAATTTAAGAGCAATTTAATATTAATATAAATAGAAAATTGTATAAAGCTTTATAATTATACTAATTGATATTAAAAAAACCTTAAAATTCAAAGCTAAAAGTGGGATTCAACTGCTTGAACAAGATTACACGAAGATAGAATGTTATATGTCCTGCCATGCTTTAACCAACGAAATAAAACATGAATCAAAATATGGTGGAAGAGAAAACAACATTATCATTAATTGCAGATTATATATTCATGCATCGGGAAAACCTAAGGGAAATAACTGAAAATTTATGAAAATTAGTTCAATAAAGCAACTCTGTACAAAGTAAACATAAAATCCATAGTACATACCATCAATAATGAAAAAAGAATCCATTTGATAATAACAAAAAGCAAATATGAATAACAAAAAGCAAATACCTGAGGATAAAAAGGAGAGCAAGACTACTGGGACGGTAGTAATGTCACTATCAGAAAAGGGAAGATCTGGGGCTGCGGATGAAGGTCAGTGGTAGAGCGTTTGCCCTGCATGCCTAAGGCTGTAGATTTGTTTCCCAGCATTAAAGAAAACAAACAAGAAACAAAACAAAAATAGAGAAATTGTTGGGGAGATCTGGAAAATGGCAAGTTTGTGGCTTCGTTGGTTATAGTGAAAACCCGAAATAATCATTTCCCAACATGAGGGAAGTGATTGCACAAATAGAATACATTTTCTTAATGAGATGGTGTGAATTTATTAACTCATTGAGCTATCGAGATTGCTCAGTAACATGAAAAAGTGGCTATGGTAGAACACTGAGAGAAGGATGCAAGGTCACAGTGCTCCAAATGACTACGACTTAAAATACCTTTGTGAAAACTATTCTAGGAGACTCTGTAGGAAATACAAACCAAACATCAAAAGTAAGATAAAGGCAAAACTCAGGCTTCAAACCTTTTTAGACATTGAAGTGTGCTATGCTCTTGAAATGTATAAACCGTAGTGAAATCTCAGTGGTATGAATGGGTCATCAGGTAACCATGGAAATTTTCAGTATGACATGTGAGGGAGGCAGTTTGCAGCCATTACAGTGATTCAAAGCCAAGATGGGCAGGCTTCAAAGGCCCATGCTTCCCATTCCATGGGCATTTCCAGCTTATCCTCTGCAGCTTCTAGAAGTTTGCAGCAGTTTTGGTGTACCCCAAAGTTTTGGTAACTTGAGCCCTACAGTCTAGTAATAAGAAGGATTCATTCCCTCCCACTTCGTCCCTCCATTGAAATTCATCTGCATATAGTTAGTCAACTTCCTAATCTTCACCTTCCTGATTTCCCTCTGGTATGTGTACTTACTTTTCATGGCAAACAAAACCACAAACTCCAAACCCCACACTTTGTCTGAG